GTGCAGCAGGCTTGGGTGGAAACCCTCCCTACTGTCTTCAGCTGGGAACTACAGCGATGGTGCCAGGTTGCCCCTGAAAGGGCTAAGCAGGCCCTTCTAGAAATACTTGATTCAGATCAAACATCAACAGATGATACAATTATCAATGAAAGTGACAGATACCACACATGCCCTTGTTTCAGAGGAAGTTATACAGGAAACTCTGCTTTCTATGGATGGAGAAGAATGTTTCCATTTTAGCCCATAGGTATGCTACATATGCTTCTTTCTAGCTGTAGGAAGAAGTGTTTTATCAACACTACTGAGGTTATGTCAGAGGCAGTTTCGTTTATTATACTGACCATCAACTCCCCACTTGGACTCTACTATTTAGAGTAGAGCCTAATAGTAGAGACTCTACTATTTAGAGTGGGTGTGCAGCACCCACTGGCTGCAAGCCCAGGATTCTCCATTTCAAAATTCAACTAGGAGAAAAGTGGAAGGAATGAACCAATTCAGGTTATAATACGATATATATGGAAATGTCATAATGAAACTCCCTGTATAGATATCTTAAACAAACAAAAATGTCTTTTTTGAAAAACAGAGGACAGGAAGGTAAAACAGGTCCTATTTGGGGTTTGGGGTCAGTGGGAAGGGGGAGGATATAAGGAAAGGGTGTAAGACGGAGAATATGGTAGAAATATGTACTCATGTGTGAAAATGGAAAAATGAGATCTGTTGAACCTATTTTAAGAATGGGAGAAGGAGGGATAAAGGACAGTGACAGAGGGGGTGAATTTAACTAAGATATATTGTAAGCACTTTTGTGAATGTCACAATGCACCCCCCCAGCACAACAACAATATAATAAAAAAATTAAAATATATAAAAACAAAATTCAACTAGAACTGTGTCTCAAACTATGGGGTAGGGTATTAGATAAAAACATCAAGCCAGGCTTGGTGGCACACATCTGTAATCCCAGCACTAGGGAGGCAAAGGCAGAAGGATCATGAGTTTGAGGCCAGTCTGAGCTACATAGCGAGATTCAGTCTCAAAAAAAAAATAAAATGAAACAAGAAAAACAAACAAAAGAACCCAGGGCTGTGGTCACCTCCAGTCCTGAAACAACAGGTTAAAAGATTATGTCAAAACCAGAGTAGACAAACAAGCTAGGAAAGTAGCAGGTGAGAGCCCGCCACTGTGGCAGGACGTAAAGCAAGGAATGGAACCCCTGACTGTTACATTAGACATTCTCCCAGTAAGAAAGTCCAAAAGCATCTTGAGAACCATGCCTTTCTCTGTGTTGTTTACTAACACTGTTCACTTTCCAAATGTTCACTGGTGAAAACACAGCTGTAGGAATCTTTCAAAAAGACATTACCACTAGAAACAACTCTTCTTTACTAACCCATATAGAACAAGTAAACAAGAAATATTCCAGACATGGTGGCTCATGCCTGTAATCCCAGCTACTTGGGAGGCAGAAACATGGGGGGATTGTAGTTTAAGGCCAGCCTTGGCAAAAAGTTAGCAAGACCCCATCTTGCACTTGTGATTCCAGCTATAAGGAAGGACTTAGGTAGAAGGATCACAGTATGAGGCCAGCCCCAGCAAAAAGTGAGAGCCTACCTGAAAAATACCTAAAGCAAAAAGGGTTGGAGGTGTGGCTCAAGTAGAGCATTTGCCTAGCAGCACAAGGCCCTGAGTTCAAAACCCCAGTACTAACCACCACCAAAAAAATCAGAAAGTAGGCTTTTGAAAGAAAAAGAAAAAATTTTGTTTTGCGACTTCACAGTGAAAACAATTAGGTTATATTTTAAGTGTTCACTTGATTAGGATTTTCATGCTTTCTCCAAATTCTCTGAAGTCATTCTCAATTCACAAGGTTAGAACTCATTTAGAGAAAAGACATACAAGATTCTCTTTCACTGCCATTCTAAACATCTGCTAGCCCTGTATCTTTGGTCATGAAAGCAAAACATTCACATTTTCATCATACTACATTCGACTGCCTTATAAATTTAGAACATTCTGTATTTTTAAAAACAATATTAAGACAATTCCAAATCACATATTATACTCATCATAACAAAATAAGATGTAAAACATGGCTGAAGGTTAATAAACTGGTTACAAGTTAACTGTAATATCCTTTGCAGTTAAATACACGTTTTATTATGGAAGGAAAATGCAAAGGTTATATGAATGATACAGTTCTAGTTCCCACCAGGTTACCCAGGAATGGGTCTCCCAGTTTGCTTGGGTAGGAGAGTGCTTTCGGAGAGCCATGTGGCCAGGAATCCACAACCTGCCCCAACAGATTGAGCAGCAGCATGTGCACACAAGGCCTGAGGGAGGGAACAATGGCAGAGCAAATCTTTGGAAGTGACCCAAGACTTCTCTCCTTGGGCACTTATATTCTCCTGAGCTCAGAGAAGACCTAACTCCATGATTTGATGCACACAGTGATATTTATAAAGAGCTCTGTGCAAACCAAAAAAAAGGAAAAAAAAAAAAGACGTAATGAAACATAAATATGCATAAATATGCCTATATTCCAACATTAAATTACTTTAGTACAAAAATCAAGGAAAATCATCACTACATCTAATAACTATAAATCCAAAAGATGGAGACATTGATACACTATACTTCAGAAGAATCACACTACCTCAAAGGTGAGTGAAAAAGGAGTGTTTATATCATTTTTTTAAATCTGAAATTCTTGTATTTTCTAGAGAATCCAAATCCACATGCTTGCCTATCAAATGCTTGTCAACCAGCAGGCAGTTACATATGTCCTTACCATAATACCTTTGTCAAATTACTTCCCACGTCAGGCAATTTAGTGGCAATGAAGCTGACATTTAAAAGTTGCAAAACTCTACCACCAGCTGAGCTCTTCCTTTTAACGCACAGAGGTCCACGATAAGTAAGAACTGATGCTGCATCACAACAAAGCCTTTTCAGTCTTTTCTTTGAAAGTCTTCTACCATCAACTTGAGTTCATCTACACAGATTCCAATCACATTATCTTTTCTGAAGAGAACATTTTTTCAGCCATTTCAGATCTGGTCATAATTTCCTGAAAAGAAGGAAACAAGATATGTGTCAAAATGGTGGTGCTACTTTCAGAACCCTAACAAAATTTTCAACAAAAATTTTCTTATAAAGATCACAATTTAATCTTTTTCAATAGCAGATGTAGAAAATAAAAACCATTTAACCCACACTGTCTATTAATGTACAGTCAACTATATGTCAAGAGGTCAGAAAACTTCAACTTTCTGCTACCTGGAAATATGGCAAGTTCAGATTCTCCAGTGACAGGCTCAGCAAAACTAAAATGGACCTACCTCTCAAGTACAGTTCCTGTAGATTTCTGTCTCATCTTACTGAATTAATGAGTTTTTAAAATTGTAAATCAGTATTTATCAAGTGCTCCTTTATAAGTAATTCTATAAAGGGATTTTTACAATGTATAAATCCTGAATTCTGTAGCAGTTTTCTCAAACCTTCCCACTCTTGTGGTCAAATCAATGCACTGATGCAAAACCCCTTTCCCTTAGTGTTTACAAACACAGCTCCAGCTCCTCTCATATTCCACAGTCACCACACACATGACTACCCACCTCCCACTAACTGCTCTCCACTCTTCCGTTGTATCAACTAGTGTTCCATGTATTTATTCTTTTTTAGATTTCCTGCCTTGGGCCACCCTTCAATGTCCACTTGACACATAATATTTTCTCCCCAAAGCTTTCTTAAATCCACATCCTATGTCCAAATTTCCTGCTTAGTAAATGAAAATGGGGAGGGAGGATGACCCTTTATTTACTGCCCCAATAAAATATCTATGAGTATCAGAGTCTAATTTAAATAAACTGCCATCTTAAAATATTCTAAACTGTTGTCCTACATACAAGATCTTAGAAAGTCACAATAAAAATCTCAACAAATAATCCTTCTACACTAACAAGCATTTATCTTACTTACGTTTGAAATGAGTACTTTACTCACAAATTCTTTTCACTGTACCACAAATGCATAGCATCCTTTCATCTGCTCAACTGATGATCATTTTACAAGGCAACTTTCAGAATTTCTTTCTGAAATACATTTCTACTTTGTGAAAATCAAAGTACCATCTCTAAGGAAATAAGCAAAAATATGCTTTACCTCATCTGAATCTACTAACACTGGAAGAGCTCTAAAAGAAAACAAAAGTGACAGTATTTTAAAATCAACAGCAGTGAATATACAAAGATTGCATGTAGGAATATCCTATGGCCCACTCATTCTCACTGCAGGATGTACACAGCTGAGAGAAGGGAACGTTGAGGCTCTTACTAATAGATGTGGAGAATTTTCAAGGCCACACTGTTCTCAACAGCCCAAAACAACTCAAATGAGTAAATTTTGGTATATTTGTATAACTAAAGTCTATACACCTATAAAATGGATAAACTGTTGAGGGATAAAGTTTTTTAAATGGGGAGATGTGGCTCAAGCAGTAGAGTATCTTCTTTGTAAGCATGAAGTCCTAAGTTCAAATCTAAGTCCCATGATAATTTTTTTTAAAAAAACAGAATCTACAGCTGTAAATGTGTCAGCAGGACCTTTAATACAGTGGGCTTCTAATTTGGGAGGGAAACAAGTGGGGGTTTTAGGATATTAGCAACATTCTACTTTTTGATCTGATTAAATGAATGTACTCATTAGAAAAATTTATTGAGTAAAAGAGTTAGGATGTGTACCATCTTCTAGAACATGTGTTCCTTTAAAAAAAAAGCTCAGAGTTAATTAAAATATTTCAATAACCTTACTTTCAAAATGGAAACAAGAATAGTTGAAGTTCAGTAATCCTAGAGCCTAATGTTAGAGGAACATCAAAGATTAAAATATACAAATGAATAATTCCAGACAAATGAGATCCAACTACACATTTATTTTTAATCTCTTCCTATTTTTTTTACTCTGAATAATGAGATAAATATCTGCCATTTAATTAGAAAATGCAGGTTTGAGTGCCTACATCTATGGTGCTTTCCATGAGAACTTAAGAGGGATGAGTAAACACACGGGAGATGGGATTTGTAGACTCAAGCATTTGCTTAAGCTCCATGTCATTATTATCACCACCTGAATGTCTATGAGAGAGGCACACGATGTGCCTCTGTTCAAGAAAGATAATATGGATAAATAGTAAAGACACACTTACAAAAGTTTTCAGTAAGCTTAACCTAGTCCCAGTGGGCAACAGAGCTTTGAGGAGAGCCTGAAGGAAAAGTATGTGCCAAAGTTTTAACATGAAATTTATGAAGGACATTGAAAGGTGAAGACTATCAAAACTATCCTTTAAAAAGGAAGACAAAATAAATATATTTTCATATTAGTAAAACTGAGAGGATTTGTTGTTAGCAAACTTATACTATAATAATTTATACAAGAAATACTAAAGAAAGACCTGATAAAAGTATAATATTGCATTATGCGTTTCAGTTCCTATCTTGCATACAACTGATATGCATGAATTTGAGATAGCACAATTTAATACCAGTCCCTCAACCAGGACAGTTCAAATTTCAGTGACTGAAAAGCACAGGAAGGTAACTCTGCAGAGCCACTGAAAGGGGCAGCATAAAAAGGTGGACAGTAACAAATATTGGCAATGAAATGGAGAAAGTGGAACCCTCACTTATTATTGACAGGAATGTAAAATAGTGCAGCTGCTTTGGAAAACAGCTTAGTATTTCCTCGAAATGTTAAAAAATAGAGTTATCACATGATCCAGCAATTCCATTTCTAGGCAGTCAAGAGAAAGGAAAAAAAATGTATATACATGCATGCACACACACACCCACATCCCTCTAAAATCATATTCATAATGATTAAATCTAAAGATAAAATCTTGAAGCTAGCAAAAGTAAAACCACCACATAAAACCAAACCTACAAAACCTATAGAGGAACAAAGAAATAAAGCAGCCAGGCACTGGTGGCACACACCTCTAATCCTAGCTACTTGGGAGGCAAAGCTCAGGAGGATCTTAGTTGGAGGCCAGCCTGAGCAAATAGTGTGCAAGACCCTACCTACTCAACACAAAAAAGGGCAGTGGAGTGGCTCAAGTGGTAGAGCACCTGCCTAGTAAGCGCAAGGCTGAGCTCAAAATCTAGAACCACCAAGAGGAAAGAAGGAGTTGGGCTTCTTTCCAAAACTGGAAAAAAAAACTGTCAACCAAGATTTCTATACCCAGTGAAAATGCCTTTCAAAAAAAAAGTGAAACAAAGACTCTTTCAGACAAATAAAAATTTGGTAGACTCATTTTCAGTATACCTGCAGAAGAAAAATGAAGGAAATTCCTCAAGCAAAAGGAATGTCATACTAGATAGAAACTTCTAAGTAGAAGCCAGATGGAAGCAGGAAGTGTGAAGATGTTACCATTCTGTCTATCTTTACTGCAGAAACAGCTATCTGAAATTCTTGTTTTGAATAGGACACAGACAGAGAAGAACATGAACAACTCAAAGTTTCCAGAGGTGATTCTTGTGAACTCTATGATCTTCCAGCAGTTTCCATGCAATATATGGCATTGTATTTGTATGTGTTTTTTAAAGTTTCACATTTGAACCTTTCCCTAATAGAAAATTAAAACAAAATAAATAATCCTGATAATTGCAGAGCAGGTAACTGTAGAGTAGAGCTAGAATTTGTGACAAACCATGAGTATTAAAATCACTGGTGTATAGTGAAAAGGGAAGAGAAAGACTAACCCAGGGTTTTGTTTTCTTGTGGCCCTGTAAGATGTAAATTAGCCATTCACTGGTGATGTGGGCCTATAGAAACACAGGGTCTGTGAGGCTTGAAAAACACACAGCAAAGTATGAGAACTATCCCTTGAAACTATGGCCTAAAGTTTGTATTTAAAAGAGGACATTTACACGTCTGTGAATGAAGAGGGAATGTTTTCTTCCACCCACTTCAAATCTTCATCCTGTAGAAAGAAATATTTATATTTAGCATTTGCTTAATATCACCTGAAAACAGAATTTTTAGAAGAATGCAAAACTTAAGTATTTCAATTCAAATGCATGACATTCAGTTGCTACCTAAGTCCAAGGAAGTTGGAATATATGACACACAGAAATATACCAGTGTTTTTAAAGCCAGATAAAAAATAAATTTCAGATTTTTGTTATTTCTTGGTATTAGCTAAGTGCATAGGTGTTATTGTTTTTGTTCTGAGAAACCATAGTAAAAACACACAGTTAATATGTAAGATAGAAAATAGCAAGAACATTAATTTATGTTCATTTTTTGTTTCTCTACACTTGTTATGCCTCCTACTTCAAACTTTTGTTTGTTTTTGGCGGTACTGGGGTTTAAACTTAGGGCCTAGTGTTGCTAAGCAAATGCTCTGCCACTTAAACCATGCCTCCAACCCTTTTTGCTTATTTTATTTATCTATTTTTTTAAAAGTAGAGTCTTGCACTTTTGCCCAGGACCAGCCTTAGACTGCTATCCTCCTACCTACACCTCCCCAGTAGCTTGGATAACAGATGTGCACTATCACACGTGGCTTGTTTGTTGATAGGCTGGCCTCGAACTATAATCCTCCCTATCTCTGCCTCCTGAGTAGCTGGGATTACAGATGTGAGCCGCCGCACCTGGCTTTTTCAAGTTCATATATGATCAATTTACAATTTTTCAACAGAAAGGGATGATGGGACAAACATTCCAATTTCTGCAAAGTCTTACTTGTTTGTGTATTACTATAAGAGACAAGAAAAGAAAAGCAGGTCAACTGGGTTATCTATATATTTTTTTTTTAACAGAAACTTGCTTATAGTTATTCAAGAAAAATAAAAGGTATACTGGATATTTTGGTTTCTAGTGTAAAACAAATCAAAATTTTTCTTTACTGTTTATCTGGCTACATGGATGCTCTACTTGTAGTACTAATTGTACTTTGCTTATCTAGAGAGACACAGCAACCGAGCTGGGTATTCATCGGAACCCCTTTCTCTGAGTGGGTTCCAGATAAAAACAAGTCAATGAGAGATGAGGCCTCTGACCAAGAGCTGACTTACAAGTGTAGTTTTTTTGACTTTTAAAAAGTCAAAAATTATTCCCTTGACATGTTTGCAAATATTCAGCTTTAACATAAACTGAGATGTATCACTAAAGTAAGAGGGAAATAGCTAATAAATTGAAATTGTTACACAGCTTGAGTATCCCTTATCCAAACTGCTTAGGACAAGAAGTGTTTTAGATTTCAGATGTTTTCAGATTTTGGAATATCTGCATATATATATCATATATAATGATGTGATAGTTTTGGGATGAGACCCAAGTCTAAACACAAAATCATTTATGTTTCATACACTTTATACGCACAGCCTGAAGGTAATCTTATATAGCATCTCTAAGCATGTTGTGCACAGAACAGCTTTGTGCTGTGGAATTGTCTACTTATGGTATCATATTGGTGTTTAAGAAGCTCCAAATCTCTATTTTTAAATTAGGGATGCTCAACCTGCAGCTCTGACAGCAGGAAACTGAAGCTGCTATCTTTTTTTTTTTTTTTCAAGTTTAGTTAAATTACCTTGAAACTACTCATAGAATACAGAACTACAGAAATTATTACCAAGAATTATCTGTCCTATCAGAACCTATACACATATAGGTTCAGAACCTATAAATTTTTGCATAGTATTATCCTTGGCATGCATAAATACAAGGCACAGCGTATAAAAACTGTATGATAGACATTTCCAGTTTGCTTTAGTTTCACAGTCATCACTTTTATACCCAAATAATATGCATAAAATATTTAAAAACTTGTATCTGACCCGTGTATCACCTTTTCTTCAGTTTTCTACAATTTTGGTAATTAAATAGTTAACACATAAAGTTCTTTTCCCAACAGGTAACTAACATTATTTGAAATGGCTTAAAAAAATCACTTTAAACTCTGGAAAGTTAACACAACCTTTTACTATAACAAAGCTTCTTAATTCTTGGTGCATATATGAACCACCTATGGAATCTTGTTAGAAAGTGTATTTGGGGATAGGCTCCGGTGACTCAGGCTTCTAATCCTTGCTATTCAGGAGGCAAAGATTAGGTCAACCTGAGCAAAAAGTTTGTGAGACCTCATCTCAATCCAACAGCTAGGCTCAGTGGCTGACACCTGGCATTCCACTCCAAGGGAGGCTGAGATGAAGAGGATCAAAGCTGTAGGCCAGCCTGAGCAAAAAAAGTTCATAAGACCTTATCTCAATAAAAAAAGCTGGGTATGGTGGTGTGTACCTGTCATCCCAGAGACTACAGGAAGCATAAACAGGAGGATTGTGGTCCAGGCTGGCTGGGAGAAAAAGTGAGACCTGATATCAAAATTAACCAGGGCACAAAGGGCTAGAGGTGAGGCTCAAGCAGTAGCGAGCCTGCCTACAAAGTGCGGAGCTCTAAATTCAAACCCCGATACCGCCACAAAAAAAAAAAGAAGAAAAGCAAGCAAGCAGATTTAGCTTTAGTGGGTCTCGGGTAGGCCTGAGATTCTACACCTCTAACAACTTCCAGGTGATGCTTGTGCTGCTGGCCCAAGGACAGCACTTGAGAGATGAAAATCTTTAACAGTAATATTTTAATTATGGAACTGAACTAGTATTGTTACATGGCAACAGTCATTTTATACCAAAAACTCAGGAAAAAAACTTAGTAAAAACTTTAGTTCTGACAACTGATGATTATGATACTCATATAGACTTCTATTTAAAACACTGTACTTACAAAATTATCAGAAGTAGATTTAGCTGTTCCATTGGAAACCATTTTTGAGGCTCTTAATTTTATTCCTTCCGCTACAATGAGAAACATTATAAAATTACAAAACAATTTCCTTTATAATTTCACATTTAATAACCCATTAAGGAAAACTGTTCTTTTTTCTAAAGGAGAATTGATAATGGTGACTTTGGCCAGGGTGCTGGCTTCAATATGCCTTTTGGAAATACAGAAAAGGGGAATTAAAGAAGTTATTATTTTTAAATTTATATATAACTATACCTATACAAGAGGTACAGTGGTATTTCAATACTTGTACGCAATGTGTTATGACCAAGTGAAGTAATGAGCATATGTGTCACCTCAAACATTTTCCACTCCTTTGCGCTGGGAACATCCAAAGTCCTCTCTCCTAGTTATTTTGAAATACATAAAAAATTGTTAACTATGGTCACCCTACTGTGCTATAGAACACTAGCTATTTTCCTGTAATTTTGTACCTGTTAACCAACTTTGTCTATTTCCTCTCCGAGCCTTGGTAACCACTCTTCTACTCTACGTCTATCAGATCAACATTGTCAGCTACCACATGAGCATGCCTGACTTATTTCCCTTAAAACCATGTCCTCCAGGCTCAGATTTTGACAGGTGTTTGTCAGAACAACCAAGATTTACCATATCATATTCAAGAATAAAACACGTATTTGGGGCTGAGGGTGTAGCTCAATGGAAGAGCATCTGCCTGGCATGTACAGAGCCCTGGGTTCCATCCCCATCACAGCAACACATACCTAACCCTCCCCACCTTTTCTTTACTTTCTTGATGTATAAATGGTGTACAAATTGTTGGAATGTGCTTATGGTATTAATAAGATAGGGAAGAAAAAGTACGAAGGCTCTGTACATGAGTATGAATTTTAGTAGAGCAGAGGTCAAGAGCTTAGGTCCTGAAACTGGACCAACTCATTTGGAATTCTAGCTCTTTCCACATAATCACGGGCAAAGGTTATGAAGATATTTTCCTATTTTCTTCTAGAAGAGTAATAGTTTACAATTAGTCTGTGATGCAGCCTGAATTAAATATTGTGAGTGTCTGTTAGGAATCCAGGTGAATTTTCTCCATGTTTGAACTGTTGTTTAAGCACCATCTTTTGAAAACATTAGTCCTTCCTCAGATAAACTTGGTGCCTTTGCCAAAAATCAACCAACTACACAATATGTGGATTTATTTTTGGACTCTACTTTGCTACGGTTGTATATTTCTCTATCTGGATGTCAGTATCACACTGTCTTTACTGTGACTGAAATCACTATCTTGTATCTTAAAATCAGTGTATGTCCATAACTGTAGTTTATTGAGATTTAAGTCACATATCATAAAATGAACCCTTTAGAAGTATATGATTCAGGAGATTTTAGGATATTCAGAGTTGTGCTATCTTCACCACTACCTAATTTCAGATTTTCATTAGCCCAAAAAGACACTCTGTACCCATTAGCAGTCAGTCCTTCCTCTAACTCTCAACAATTCCTAATCTAGAGAAACCTGTTTCTCTAGATTTTTCTATTCTAGACCAATCATATCAGAGGAATCACACAACATGTAGTCTTTTGTGAAGATTTCTTTCATTTATCATAACATTTTCAAGATTCCACACTGTAACTAAAGAATGTTTTTTAATCTCTTCTAAATCTTTTGCTTTTCTATATACATTTTAGAGTCAGTTTACCCATTTTAGCAGTACTGAGGTTTGCACTCAGGGCTTTGTGCTTGCAGGGCAGGTGTTCTATTGCTTCAGCCACACCTCCAGTTCTTTTATTTGGTTATATTGGAGATAGAGTCTCACTTTTTACCCAGTCAGGTCTGGACCTCAACCCTATGTTAAGCTTCCCATCATACCTGGAATGACAAGTGTGCACCACCACACCCATCTCTGTTGAGATGGGGTCTTATAAACTTTTTGCCCAGGCTAGCCTAGAACCATGATCCTCCTGCTCTCAGCTTTTTGTTTGGGATGACAGGTGTGTGTCACCACTGTGTCCAGTTATTGGTTGAGACTGAGTCTTGAAAACTATTTGCCCAGGTTGGCCTCAAACTGTGATCCTCCCAATCTCTGCCTCCCAAGTAGCTAGAATTACAGGTTTGAGCCACTGGTGCCCAACTTTTGTGTATGTGTATGCATGTGATATATGTGTATATATACACATGTGTGTGTCAGCTATAATTTTTGGGGGGGTCAGCAATAATTAGAATTGTACTGAATCTACTTATCAGTTTGGGGAACTGACAGTTTAAACAACACTAACTACTATTCTAATTCATAGATGTGTTACGTCTCTTCATTTACTAACCCTAAAATTTCTTTCTACATTGTTTTGTAGTCTTCACTGCAGAGATCTTGTACACTTTTCATTAAACTTACTCTTAGATATTTTATTTTTGAAGGTATTACAGATATTTTAAATTTCATTTTCCCATTGTTTTCAGTTAGTACATAGAAAAATAACTGTTTTCTACATATTGAACACACATCTTATGATTTTGTTATAGTCACTTTCTAGTTCTACTACACTTTTCTTTTGTAGATGCCTTAGGATTTTTCTCTTCCTTTCTATACTGTGTATCTTTACATTCTTTGAGATTTTTTTTGCACCTGAGTGCTGGGACTTCTCAGATGGTGCACAAAGTGGTGAGTTGATACTCATGTACTTTGTCCCTAATCTTTGGTGGAAAGCATTCACTATTTCACCATTAAGTATGATTTTACCTGTACAGTTTTTTCAAAACATTGTATAATTTCCTGAGTTGTTTTCCTTTCAAAATATGCATCTACTGAGATACTCATGTCATTTTTCTTTCTTCTTTAATATGATGAACCACCCTGAGTTTGATTTTCAAAAATCAAACTATTTCAAAAATAGTTGCAAATGTTGAGTACTGTTAAAACAACTGCAAATGTTTCAAGCTGTAAAAACAGGCTTGCAATCCTGGGATAAAGTCCTCTTGGACTGCCTTTCCATATTTTACTAGGGTTTCATTTACTAATATTTTTTAAAGAATTTTTTTTCTACTCATTAATGGCATTTGTATTTTTTTCCTTTTTAATGTCTTAGATCTGGGCATTTAAGTGGTGCTGATTTATAAAATAAGGTGGGAAGTATGTGAACCTCCCTTATGTTTTAGAGTTTGTTACAGAAAGATTAACTATTGACTGAAGCTGCTTGGACCTGGCACTCTATGGGAAGATTTTAAATTAGAATCTTATAAATAGATTCAGGACTATTCAGACGTAGTGGCACAGGGTTAGAATTGAGACTAAGGCGGGTTTTTGTTGTTGTGAGACAAAGTCTAGCTATGTAGCCCACACTGTACTCTAACTTGTGATCCCTCCTGCCTCAGCTTCCTGAGTGTTGGGACAGAGTAGGTTTTTTTCATTTATATCTTTTTCAAGGAATTTGTCTACTTCATCCAAATTGCTCAATTTATTACCATACAGCTGTTCATGATATTACCTTATATGCTCCTTTTTTACTGCAGTAATGACCTATTAGTTCCAACACTGGAAATCTTTCTATACTTGCACTTATTATTTTTATTTCTGGTTTAGATTATTTAGCAGCACACTCATTTTTACTAATGCTTTCAAAGAACCTGCCCTTGGCATTGATGATTTTCTCTAATTTTCCATTTTCTACTTCATTGATGCAGGCACTTAGCTTCGTAATTACCTTTTTTTAAATTCATTATTCTGGGTTTAACTTCTCTTTTTCTAGTTCTTCAGGTGGATACGCAGATTAATGATTTTACATGCTTCTTTTTTTCCTTGGGATTATAGGCATTTATTCATTTATTTATTGGTGATACTAGGGTTGGAATTCAGGGCCTTATTGAGTCATGCCTCCAACCTTTTTTGCTTTAATTATTTTTCAGATAAGGTCTTACTTTTTTACCTGAGCCATCCTGAACCACAATTCTCCAAAGCCAGAATTACAGTGCATACCACCACACCTGGGTTTTTTGTTGAGATCGGGTCCTGCCAACTTTTTTGCCTAGGCTGTGCTCAAACCAGGATCCTCCTGATTTCTGCCTCCCTGGTGGCTGGAATTACAGGCGTCAGTCACTGTGCCTGGCCCTAGGCTTCTAAAGCTGTAAATATTCCCAAGCACTGTTCTAGCCTCGAAAGATGTGACATGCTGCATTTTTATCATTTAGTATGAAATATTTTCTAATACGCCTTATAATTAATTTCTTTAATCCATGAATTACTTAGTATACTACTAGCTTCCAAATGTTTGATTATTTTGTAGATGTTTACTGCTATTAGTGTCTAATATAATTCCACTGTAATCACAGTACATGCAAATATTCTGTGTGACTGCAATCTTTTAAAAAATTTTAAAGACTTTTTATGGCCACATATATGGCTCAATGTTAATTAAGTTTGATAGCTTTGTTCAACTCATATATCATCACTGATATGTCTACTTGCGTTATTAATAACTGAAAAAGGAATGGTAAAATAGTGAACTATGACTGCGAATTTGTTTGTGGGATTTCAAATCATATGAAATAAAATTTGAAAGAACTTTATTAGGTATGCACACATTATGGCATCTTGGTAAATCTACCCTATTATCTCTGCCTGCTCTTTAGACTAATGGCTGCAGTTTTATCATGGGGGAGTCCCACTTTGTGCTGCTGATTTCAAACACCAGCTAAGATTCTGAAGACTGTATGCATTTTGGAGTTTCCTCCATTGTGGCTCTCTCTCTTCTGGATATCACCCCTCAGTTTCCAGGCATTCTTATAGCCCAACTTCTACCCTGAAACTCTTTACATTAGTAAGTTTGCACCTATCTTCTTGAGCTTCATCCATGGCACCATTACATCGACTATGTGTGCATTTAGGATAGAAACCGTAGCTGTGGAACTTATGGAGGGTGTGGTTCCCTTTTTTTAGGAGTCAAATAGCTGCCAGTTTCTGCCTATATTTTTTGTTGCTCTCCCATGCTTCCAAACAGCTATTTTTCCCAATAGCTTGTATGGAATTTGTATTAGCTATCAATAGGAAGTCTTGTTTAAGAAAATTCATTCTACCATCACTGGAAGCTAGATCCTTAAGGCACTGAATTTTAATGTCTTACTGTGAAGAAGTAAGATTTTCTTTCTTAATAGGAGGGTCAGAAAAATATGAAAAAACTAGTTACAGCTGGGAGTAAATAAGAGGTATAAAAAGTGGAGATGCAGAGACACACTGATTATGCTACAATTTTTGCTGATTGGGTACACTATAACATTTTTATGGTATTTTAGACAACTGAGAGTACCAAAACAAATTATGAAAAAGAATAAAACTAAAAAGAGAAACCAAAGTAAGAGGAAGGCAAAATGGAACAGGAAATATTGCCCTCAACATCTAATTTACATACTAATTTTGCCTTAACAAATGCTTACTTAGAATATTATGGTAAAAATTAACAAAATGATTAAATGTGATGTAAAAATTAACAGAAAGAATAAAAATGAGAATACTACTAAAACTGTTCATTAGAAATGCTTTAGGCATTACCAAGATATTATAGGTGTGTATACGTCTCAAAAAGCAAGAATTTCTGTCTCACTCACAGAAATTTAGTCATCATCACTAGGAAGATGAGCATACTCTGGGCACTAGGCATCACATATCCTGAACCATTCTTGTGCAAAACCTCCTATCTGCTTCAACACTTTAAGAGCAAAACAGTAACAAAAGCTCAAACACGTTAACAACCTCAAAAATTTAATCACTCATTTTGCTTTTTGTTAGTATCTACCTTAAAGGTTCCTATAAAAATATTTTATAGGAAAAATTTTAAATGAGTGGCCTTGTATCAGAGGTAAAGGTTTAATATTTCTGCTACAATATGTACAGTGGTCACTTAAAACAGAAAACATATCATACTCACTTAAATTTTCAGATGTTACCATGAATTCTTCAACTTCATCATCAGAGTCATCTATTAAGGGCATGAAGGCATATCTATATTAAAAAACAAGGAGTAGTTTCACTATTGTGTTTAAACCATTTCAATTTTCAGTTTATATCTAAAACCGTCATCATATATAAAAAAATCTACATTTTAAGTTTCTTATACATGAAAATAATAAAAACTTATTTTACTTTCAGGTTAGCTAGAATTCTTGTGAAGGAACTATGAAAACGTAGCTTTCAAATCTTGTTGGTAAAAGCCAAAGTGGGTACAATCTTTCTAGGAAGCAATTCTGTAATATGTATCCTTCAAAGAAGAGAACTTTCTGCTGAAATTCTTTCTCAGAGCAGGTTTGCCTCCTTCCCCACCACATTTTAGTTTTCCCCTCATGATAGAGAAGGTGCTAATATGATAGGTGAAAATAATATCCACTGACAGAGCCACTTCTAGTGATAAGATCACATATACTTCTCTAGAAAATACTGCTGCTGGAGTGTCAATGGAGACAAGCTTTCTAGGAAGGTCTTTTTGGCACTACGTATTAAAGTAAGGGTGCCTGTGCTTTACATTACACTAAAAAAAGCTTGCCCAGGCAGATGTTGGACAGCATTCAGAAGATACTGTTGACAACAGCAAAAATCCAGACACAAAGTGTTTAATAATTGGAGACTGCTTACATAAGCTGCCACACTCATGTTATGGACTACCACACAGCCTTTAAAAACACTGTGGGTATCCATGTATGAAATCAAGAGACATGTTTTCAACAGGAAGGTTGAGACAGTATATATATGCATTGCTATTTTTGAAACATGCTTGGTACATACTTTTTCACTTTTTCCTAGAAGGGTACGCAAAAACTTAACAGCAATTCTTTAATGGAAGAAGGTGAGGCAAGGGAAGGTAGGGCTTCCCATAAGCAGACTAAAGTACAACTTTCTGAACTTGGCATTCAAGTGTGATACCACTTTGGTCACACCATTTTTTTTTCAGCTCTATCTTTCCCCAATGAGTAACAACAGGTAGAGCATCCATAATTCAAAAATCTAAAACTAAGCATCATGTCAGAACTCAAAAAGTTTCAGATTTTAGAGCACTTCACATTTCAGATTAGTAAAGTCTATGTAAATATTACAAAATTGGGGGGGGGATCACAATTGGGGGCAGGGGGGGATGTGTCCCAAATAATGTATATGCATGTAAGTAAATGTAAAAATGATAAAATAAAATTAAAAAAAAAAGAAAAAAAATCCAAAATCTGAAACACTTCTAAACCAAGCATTTTAAATAAAGGATACTCAACCTGTGACATTAATAAAACTGCATATGTCACTGACTTCCAAGTATACCATGATACGTTTTTTCACTACCCTTAAAATATACATTCTTTCCCAGCTCAACCTTTCACTGTCTACTCTGTCTCAAAGATATAAATGCCACCTCTTTATAGTCTTCCTCACCCTTCTTCCCCTAGACTTTTATTCACCTCTTATTTCACTGTCTTGCATTTGTTATGTTTCTTTCCATTTGTGTATTTGACTATATATACTGCTTAAAAGCAAAGACTTCTTCCCAACAGTTTCTATACATGTTTTTCTTTTTCTGGTGGGGGTGTGGGGAGGACAGGAGGACGGGAAGGTTACTGGGGTTTGAACTCAGGGCCTCATGCTTACTAGGAAAGTGCTCTACCACTTGAGCAACATCTCCAGCCCTTTTTGCTTTAGTTTTTATTTTGAGGTAGGGTCTTGCTTTTGCCCAGGGTCAGGCTAGGACTGCAATTCTCCTACCTATACCTCTTGATAGCTAGGAACACAGATGTGTACCACCATATCTGTTTATTTGTTGAGACAGGGTCTCCCTATCTCGCTAACTTTTTGATGGAACTGGCCTTGAACAGTGATTCTCCCAATCCCCACCTCCCTAGTACCTGGGATTACAGCATGAGCCACTGTACCCCACCCCTTATGCATGTGTCTTCTGACATTATAGAAGATGCCCAACAAATGCCTGCCAACTTAAATTTCCTTATGTTAATTAAGTACCTCTGATTATTTGCTGATGGTCTCCACAAAAACATTATTACAATAAGAATGAGTGAAAAAAGGAAGCTCCAAAATGCATCATCAACCCAGAGTTCCATCCAATCCTAAAATAAGGATAATTCAAGCATGAAAAGTTAATTTTCTGATAAACATGCAGGTTTCCCATTCAAACAGTATATAATGACAAGTACTAACACCTCTCCAACCAATAAATCTTCCCAATAAATAGGTACCCATTTCTTTTTCAAAGAAACCTATATTGTTCAAGATATTTTTAAAGAACTGTTTAAAATTATAAACATTCCTTTCCATAAAATTTTAGGGTTGGTAGAAAGATTTAGAAAACAAAAAAATCTAAAACATATACTTAGAATTTCAAGTAGAAAATGCTAAAGTAAAAGGACAAGAGGAAACAACTCCAGAAGGCTCAACTTCTTTCTCATTAAATTGTCCCTAAAGCAGCAGCAGTTCAGGACTTTCAGGCAGTCCTTTGTAATTCTGCTGTAGAACCAGAGACTAGCTCCAAATTCATGAAACCCCCAAAAGAGAGTTTTACAGTCTGAGTCTGAGAAATGTACCTTCTCCCAACTAAAGAACTCATGTGGAATAGCTCTCCAAGGTCCACATTGAGTATACTATCATGGAAACATGTCAGACTTAAGGTGTTTAGTTCCATTTAGATACAAAACAGGGCAGGAGGTATACAGCTCAAGGGCAGAGTATATGCTTAGAATGTGCAAGGGCCTGGGTTCTATCTCTGGTAGCAAAAGGTAAAAGAAAAAAAGGGGGAGGGAGCATAAAACCACCCACTCTCATAGTATGCAGGAAGAAAAAGCTCTTCTGTTTCTTTCTTTATTTTTGCACACTGGAGATCAAATGCAAGGTTCTTGTGCATGTTAGGCAGATGCTCTGTTACTGAACTCTATCCCACCCCTTTCATATTACTTTAAACTACATGAGAAGAGAATTCTTTTCTAAAATACATAAGAAGGAACTGAGAAAAAAGCATGATAGGAAAGGGAGACTTAGGAGGAGTCTTTTCAGATTCATTTAAAAAAGGTCAAAGTTTTGATAACTATACAAGATAGCTCAAAGTAAAAGGAAAATATCCACTAAAATTACCTCTATTTACAAGCAAACTAAATTCTTCAAAATTCCACAAAATAAAATAGCTTAAATAAAAGTAGCAACTGTTTAAATAGGATTTTACTTACTGATTGGCATTTTGCAATTCTAAATGTCTTAGTTGTCCACACCATGAACACTATAGAAGCTGAAATACACATACAATGTTACCTTTGAAAGAACAATATTAAAATAATTTATTATAATAAAAAAGTAAATCGCTTACCCAGCACAGCAAAGATGAGAGTATTTGTAAAGTGTCTATATAATGAAAATTTTACTGTGTTCTTCCTTAGCCTTAGAGTCTTCATAGTTTGTGCCAAACTTATAAAAATGTAGAAAGAGTTAAGGAAAAACATGTTAAATAGCAACAAGTTTAAAACATAGTGAGTTTTCTACACTTCCAATTAGTATTGCTATAGTTCCTACAATTTGAATCTAATAAAAACACAGAAAATGTCATGTTAGGCAATATTGTATAATCATGACATTCACATTACACAGATCCTGTTTTAAAATTTATCGTTGTCTGAAGTAAGTGAACAAACTTCAAGAAAAAAAAAAATGTAAGCAAGATCTATGATGCATTCCTTCAAAGCCAAGCTCCTGTAACACAGGACAGAGTAGCACACACACTAAAAGCTGAGTTCTTTTTAGGTCAGACACTCCACAGATTGAGTTACAACATGCCATTTGGCTTGTACTTTTCTGATACTTTCTTATTTTTTCTAGGCTATTCTTGTGTTATTTTCTAAATGACCATAATTAAACCACCTATCAATTCCATTCTATAAATTAAAAGACTGAAATATGTCAAATAAAACAAATTTGAACTTAAGTAAGGGTAATGGGTAGGAGCACTGCAAAAGGACTATAGGAATACAGGACTATTAACAACTTCAAGAGTCTCAAAAACCAGGCATAAAAGGGCTTTTCTTTTATGGAAAGGAATAGGTGAGGCTAGAAAGAAGCGGGAACAGGGAGAAGATGGTATAACTGGGCACACTGACTGAGTCTTTCCTTGTGGTCTGAGGGTACACAGGAGGGCCCCTTAAGGAAAGTTGTGTGCTGGCTCAGGCTGATGGCAAGTCAAAGTTCAGGGCCTTGGGGAAGAAGCAGGTTTAATGTTTGGTGGAGTCAGTGTTTGTCCAGATTGGCCACAGTTCAGCTAATCATTCATGGATCCAAAGAAAGGAAATTTAGAGGGTCTGGGACTGGCTAGTCATAAATAAACCAGGGGCATTCCAGATATGAGCTAAGTCCTATAGGGAAGGGGGCTGCTTTGTAGTAGTCAGTTCCCAGAACATAAATGTGGAAAGAAAGGGGTCACCTTGGCTGTTTTCCAGGAGCATGGGGCTCCACTAAAGGTCAACACTGTCAAGATGAAGAAGCATAAAAAAGAGATTTTTTTCACTGGTTCCTCAGCTTAGCAGTGAAGCAGGATTCAACCTGATCTCTGTTCTCACATAGGAGGTCCCTACTTTGGAGCAGACAGGAAGGCTTTATGAACAACATGCTGACAGTAACAGAGCTGAGCAAAAAATGAAGTGGCAAGTTTCTTATTTAGCTCCATTTCAAATTGTAAATACTTCACTAATCAAAAACTTCATTTTTGTACTAAAACTACTTTATCAAAACTGCTTTCCAATCTTTCTAAAAGATCAATTTCTAAAGTATATAACCCAACCAATTAGGGCTACTGTCAAAACTTACAAAAATGTGTATGTACTTTTTTTTTCCTTAAATATATTAAGATGAAAAAAACCTGGTCTTGTTTAATCATTCAAAAATGGTTTTATTTGTTTAATTTTTGAAACAGTCTCCCTATGTAGTCCAGGCTAGCCTTGAATGTGAGATCTTCCTGCTGCAGCCTACCTGAGTACTAGAATTATAGGCCACTATGTCCAGCTAAAAATGTTTCTTAAAAGCCAATGAGTAAAAATATCAAAAGTAAATTAGAAACTGCTTCAACCTTCACTTATAGGACACTTTTAAATTTAGGTGAAGTTTAAGTTACCACCCCTCTGCTATTCCCACCTCTTACAAGAAAGCAGTGATGAAAGCCCACACTCCTGCAGTGAGAACCGGTGTGAATGCACTGCTACGATAGGAAAAGGATATCCACCAGCACAAGCCAGAGTCAAGGAGAGAGAGAGGGAGGCTGGCCAGAAGGACAAGATCAGAATCATTCGCCTGCAGCAAAACAGCAAAAACGAACAAACAAACAAACAAAAAAACAAGCAGGAAGGCAGGTGAGGCACATGAGAAAGGCTACAGCTTTTGAACTTTCTGTGTTATTTTTTTCTATTACTTTAGAGTTAGATTATTACAGGATTAGTTATACTTCTATTAAGTTTATAAAATCAAAGGGAGCAGGGTTATTACCCAAAGCATTCAATTCTATATACATCTACTCATGCTTTTTTTGCTTATCATTTAATCACTTAGGAAATCCGTTGTTTTGTTTGGTTTTTTTTAGTACAGCGAAAGCAGAATTTTCAATTTAGTAAAAAATTACTAAATGGCAATCTGAAAGCAAACTTCACAACTCAGGTTCAAGCAGAAGTGGAAACTACGTTTTCTTTCTCTTACTATGAAACGCTAAGCAAGGTAATATGAATTACTGGCTTTCTTCATGCCTATTAAGTAAATTACATATTTCATCTTGCTTTATCTCCACACCCCAATTTGGCTAATGTATTGCAATGTACCAAACTTGATGCTGTCCATGAAGTTGACAATCAGATGCCTACAAGGACTATGGAGCTGCTTTCCTTTGGAATTTTCTGCCATGCATTACTGAACAATCTTCCCAATGAACTACTTTGTGGATAGTTAAGAAGAAATCTTTGAAATATGTATCTGTAAATTACCAGAGGAAAAGATAGCATGAATTCTTCATTTGTATGCTCGATTACTTTATTAACTGACTTGTCAAAAGCTCAAGCACAAACAATTTGAGAAAGACAAGCCCAAATTGAATAGCTAGCTCAGGCTCACTTCCTAAACACATCATGACAGAAGGTAAGGCATTAAGATCTAGAGATAGCAATGCCCAGATTCATGTCCACTGCAACTCTGCCATCCCACTACCAGACTGTTTGTAGTTCCTGTCCATTCTCCTCAGGGTGGTGAGCATCCCTAACACAGATGCTGCTGCAGCTGCACAGGACCTACAATCCCTGGAGTGAGCACTGAGAGTGGCACACTGTTCACATGCACAACTGAGGATATGTCACCTTTTTAGCAAGTGAGTGTCTTTAAATGTTTTCTAATGTAGGAAAAATGAAAAATTACATGAGAAGATATTTATATCACTTTTGAAAAGGGTAGACTTATTTAGCTACCCTTCCATTCATAAATTTGTATTCTAAACTAGTAGATGTGAACATACTTGCTTTTTAAGCAGGTTTGGACAAACCAATGAGGTATTACTGGAGTTGCCTGTCTGGCAAACCTCTGGCTCTGAGTTCAATTATCAGTGCCACCAAAATAAATAAATAAATAGGCATTATTTATAACTATGCTACTCAGATTCTGAGGAGGTCCATGGACATAAATCAGGAGTTCTTTAATGGCCCTTCTGTGCAAAATTCCTTGTGTGGGGTGTGCTTAATGAAGGCTTTACAGCTTTCATTAGATTTCTCAAAGGCATTTCTCATTTCTGATTGTACCACTCAAAGTTAAGAACTACTTCTTTGAAGAGTAGGGATAATAAATTAAAATTCTGTTTTGGCCTGGGGAGGTATCTCAATCATAGAGCACTTGCCTAGCATGCTCAAGACTCTGTGTTCAATCCCCAGTACTGCCAAAAAAGCAAAACCAAACCTCACTTCTTTTTAAAATTAAAAAGCACACTGGGAATTCACAGAACAAGTAGGCCAGGCTTATGGACTCCAAGAAGCCCATCAGTAGTGCTGCATTCGCTAGCATACCTGCAGAAAGGGAAACTGTCCCTGTGGAGAAAAGAACAGGCACATGCAAGCCCCCTGACTCTTCCTATGAGACACATATGAGAAAATGGAAAGAAATACAAGGAAAACAAGAGAAAATGTAATGACAAACAATAAACATATCAAAGATGAAACAAAATTACCAGGTAAAATATGAACTCCACCTAAGCGTTTTCATGAGGACATACAGAGGAAACATATAAAAATAATATTCTAGGATATCCATATCCTGCATTCTGCTCTGACCAAATCATATTTTCTCTAGAATTCCTCTCATTTCCACCAGTGCTATCACAAAGGAAAAAACTGTAGGAATTCTCTACCCTCATCTTGAATCACTGAATCACTGAACAGGACCAAGGTACCACTGCCTCTAAAACTCCTGCTGCTGCAACATGCTCCAGCCCCTCCAGTTTCATGTAGCCTACTCTGCTCCTGCCTGTTCCAACCTCTGGAATGACCAAAGCCCAGTGTGCCAGGTGAGGCTGTCTGCCTGCACCACTGGCCACTGTTGTTTATCCCTCCCTGTCTGTCTGCCACTATGGCGGTTTCCTGACTCTTCCAACTCCCCTAGCCATGGTGTTCCTTCTAAGCATGTCTTTGTCCCCACAAGGCACCATTCTGTCTCCTTTCCTCACTGGCCTACATGCTCTCCTCATGTCATTCCAATGCTCCAAACTTCTCTCACTTATACATGACCTTGGATCATCATCTCCAGTTCCAACCCTCTTAGAAACCCAGGTTGTCTGGAACAAATAGGTATAGGCAAGGACTTCCTCAATAGAACCCCAGCAGCCCAGCAACTAAGAGAAAGGATGAATAAATGGGACTTCATAAAATTAAAAAGCTTCTGCACAACAAAAGAATGGTCTCTAAACTGAAAAGACCACCCACAGAGTGGGAGAAAATATTTGCCAGTTATACATCAGACAAGGGACTGATAATCAGAATATACAGGGAACTTAAGATACTAAACTCTCCTAAAATCAATGAACCAATTAAGAAATGGGCAACTGAACTAAACAAAACTTTTTCAAAAGAAGAAATTCAAATGGCCAAAAAACACATGAAAAAATGCTCACCATCTCTAGCAATAAAGGAAATGCAAACTAAAACCATACTAAGATTTCACCTCACCCCTGTTAGAATAGCCACCATTAGCAACACCACCAACAACAGGTGTTGGCGAGGATGCGGGGAAAAAGGAACCCTCTTACACTGTTGGTGGGAATGTAAACTAGTACAACCACTCTGGAAAAAAATTTGGAGGCCACTTAAAAAGCTAAACATTGATCTACCATTTGATCCAGCAATACCACTCTTGGGGATATACCCAAAAGACTGTGACACAGGTTACTCCAGAGGCACCTGCACACCCATGCTTACTGCAGCACTATTCACAATAGCCAAGTTATGGAAACAACCAAGATGGCCCACTACTGATGAATGGATCAAGAAAATGTGATATCTATAATGCAATGGAATTTTATGCAGCCATGAAGAAGAACGAAATGTTATCATTCGCTGGTAAATGGATGGAATTGGAGAACATCATTCTGAGTGAGGTTAGCCTGGCACAAAAGACCAAAAATCATATGTTCTCCCTCATATTCGGACTTTAGATCTAGGGCAAATGCAGCAATGTGGTTGGACTTGGGTCACAAGACAAGGGGAAAGCACATATGGGAGATATAAGATATATACAGGTAAAAAACCCAAAACATGAAAGCGTTTGATTTCCCCACTCCAGAGGAACTAATACAGAAACCTTAAAACAACAGGTTATCATGAGGAAGGGATCAGGAAACAATGTAAAGATCAGTTAGACTTGAATCAACATGGGTTGTAACACAAGGGTACACGAAAACAATAGTAGGAATCTCTCTGTATAGCTATCCTTAACTCAACTAGTAAAAACACTTTGTCTTCCTTATTATGCTTATGTCTTTTCTTCAACAAAATCAGTGATAAGGGCAGAACGGGACCTGCCTGGAACTGAGGGGGGAAGGGGGGAGGGGAGCAGGGTGGAGAAATGATCCAAACAATGTATGCACATGTGAATTTAAAAAAAAAAAAAAGAAAGAAAGAAACCCAGGTTGTGATTTCTAACTATAGTTTTCACACAAATGACCTGGGCAAGCCAAAACTGGTCCATTATGGTCCCTCCTCAAGTTCACTGTCTTGAAATGGCAACACTGCCCCCACCAATCCCAGTTAGAATGCAAGGCCTCTGGAACCACCCATTTCTAGCAAGTCTAGTGTTTGCATTCTTTTTTGCATTTTCCTACTCTATTTCTGACCCACATCATCTCTTTAGATCACTGCAAATGACTCCTTACTAGACTTCCTGCCTCCAGTTTCTCCTTTTCCAAGTCATTTTCTTCTGTCACCTGAGTTCTTTTTACCACAGTCTTTATCATGCTACTCACCTGCACAGCTTCATTTTTCCTCTACCCTGCCTTCAGAAGGGACTTGAATCCCCTGCACATGTCATCCAATCTTTCCCCTCCCCATGTGCCACGATTCTCTTACATGTTCACCTGCAGGAAAGCTTCCCTCTCTATACTCCCATGCTTCCAACTATTTGTTCTGCTCAATTCTTCCCAGAATGCTCTCCCAATAATTCTCTTCCTGGTGAACTGCTATTTGTCCTAACAGTCTCAATGTAAATGTCACCATCTTTGTGAAGTCTTTCCTGATTTTTAGGCCAGAATGAATTCATTTCTCTCTTCCCTCTATTCATACAGCATCACTCTAAAATGGCAATTACTGCTGCTATATTGCTGCTAGTTATGCATTTGTCTCCTTTATCAGGGTGTGGGTTCTTTAAGTGCAGAGAGTGTTTTGCCTCCACACCTTGTCAGTATGAGACACACACTGAACACTTCAATGTTTGCTGAACTATATATGAAAAATAAAGATACTTCTTATTTGGGAGTTACTACTTTTTCACCTTCAACTAACCTTCTACACTGAGGTAACAATAATGCATAACTGTATCTCATTCTATCATTTTTATAAATTAAAAGTAATCTGATTTTAATGATATAACAAACTCTTTTGGAAGGACTTAGTAAAGGATATGAACCATACAAAAATGGAGTCAATGACTGCTAAAACAATGTCACCCAAAACAACTGCTAAATGCTTAGAACCCTGAAAGATAAAAATGTGGGGAAATTTGTAAGTTTCATTAAAGTACAGCAATTATCATCTGATGAAGATAACAATTTAGCTTGTCTTATCACTTTACAATGCCAAATAAGAGAATTTTTTTTAAAGAAAATTATGCTTAGCACATGGAACTTCGTTTTAGCAGCAACAACTGTTAACGTGACTAACTTATTTCACAATAGCAATGTAAAACTGTTACAGAATGGCAAATAAGAAGCATCATCTCCCATCTCACTTAGGCCAACCTCCCTCTTCACACCAACCTACAGCCAGGACTAGCTATGAAGCGACATACACACCAAAAAAAAGTGAAGGGAAGGGAACTGTGGAGACAGGCATAAACAAACTGTAATTAGGCATTACTCTGACAGTCATATTTAAAAGAGTCACTAAGATACTGACTATATAAAGTTCTTCAAAGATAAAATGCATATACTATCTCTATATGTGGGTGTTTATCTTTTCCATCTTCCTTCCAACGAAGATTAATTTCCTGTGAATTATATAGAAATGCAGGGTTCTTCATGATTATACAAAGGTAAAAATAGATTAAAAAAAAGAGATGTATCAAAATGCAGATGTATCAGAGATAACAGAAAGAGGAATGCTTTTTAATATTACTAAATAAATGTCCTACTTTAAGGGTAAGGTTAAAATATGTGACAGAAACTCTGTGGCAACATACAAATTAATCAATGTGTTACGTACAATGACCTAACTTACACCTCTAATCCAAAAGACATTCTGAGTAAAATGACAAGATTCTCTGAATCAGATTAAGATAAAAATTTTTTTTCAGTAGTGGGGGTTAAACCCAGGACCTCACAATTGATAGGCAAGAGGTTTACTACTTGAGCCACATCTCCAGTCCTTTTTGTTTTTTAGTTTATTTTTCAGATAGGGTTACATGCTTTTGCCCAGGCTGGCTTTGGACCATGATTCTCCTACCACTGCTGCCCAAGTGGCTGGAATCAGACGCATGTGCCACCGTGCCCCCAGCTACAATAAGCTTCTTAATCACTCAGTTCTCAATCACTTATTAACAAAAACCAAAACTAGAAGTCTAGGGATCTTTACAGATATAAACATTAACACTTCCCTACAGAATAAAGTACTGCTTCTGCTTCCCACATTACCAGTCTTATTTCCCTGACCACTACCGCCTCCTGGTTCTTCCAATGGTAAGGTCCACTGAATCCCCAAAATAACAACTCCACAAGAGTCAGAGTGGTGAAATGTAATATTCATATGCCTAAAGGGTATAATTAACTTTCTGTTTACTTGATACATTTTTAAATACAGGATTAAGAAAGATATGAATGTGTACAGACTGTCTAAGGACAGAGGCAAATGTTCTTTATAAAGAATAACCATGAACATTTGAACATTTCTGGGATGGAGCTAATTTCTGGGATGACATCAAGTACTGCCTCTATAACCAATCTTACCATTTTAGGAATACTCTTTCTAGCCATTTCCCTTAGGAAATATTTCAAAAAAGGAAAATATACACAGGAAAAAGCTCAAATTGGACCTTTTTCATAATTTCTATCTTTAAAAGATCATTTTGAGAGATATAAAGTAAAATCACATTTCACATCAACAACAAAAAGGGAAGGTAGTGGAATTAATACAGTTTTTACCCCAATGACTCTCATCACGCCTTCAACAGCTGCAAAGATGAAATAAAGCAGTCCCAGTCCAATTACCCGGTGCATAACTGTTCCTAAGCGAGGCCTGGAGTAAACAAGAGAAAAAAAAAAAAAAAAGAAGAATGAAAAAGCATGGGTAACTAAAATTCATCTGAAAACAGAAAATGGCACCATTTCCAATACCACAGAAGTCACCATCTAATAAAATCAGTGTGTAGTGAGTGCCTCTGAGGTTCTTTATCACTAGAATCTGAATTTCCTGTGAACCCAGCAGAAACAGGCCCAGGAACAGCTGGTCTCTTTCTCTAGGACTCAAAACTGTTACAGATGCCCAAGAAGAAACAACTTAAAGCCACAAAGGTGTCAGAGAATTTTTCTGAAGTTCAAGCAATACAAAAACAGAACCAGTTACTATTTCTATGGAATGGAAGAGTAGGTTGATGAAACCTAGGAAAGTAAGTGCCAACTTCTAAGTGTCACTGGCAGACATTATAGTTTAATTCTTCTACTAACATTAACTACAGACTGTTCTGAAATCTGCCTTGTGAAGGTACTCTACAGATGGATCTAATGATATGGCCAAAGAAACAGCCTTTCAGTGTAACAGGAGTGCTTACAGAAGTTGGTTTTCCTTCTTTAAACTAAAAAACTAAAAATAACATTTTTGTCTCTTAACATACAATAAGTTGGGAGAATGTAAAGATGGTATATTTTTTATAATTAGCAATTTGAAAACAAAAGGGAAATTTAATGTCATCTGCAAATCAGAATTGATTGCACATACTGTTTAGCATACTTAAAAATCCTCTTCTCGAGTAATTAGAAGAAAAAACTTTTTTTGTTTTGAGGGTTTTTTTTTTTTGGGGGTGGGACTGGGGTTTGAACTCAGGGCTTCCTGCTTGCAAAGCAGGTGAATGACCTTGAAAACCTGGTTTTGAGAACATATTTAAGACAGCCATTTTAGAGCAAAATCTAAATAAAGATTAAACTAATGTCCATAGTTCATATTTAAAATCATTCACCTAATTTAGTGACTAAATTCTGATTTGTTATAAACAGCTGACCAGAAACCTTATTGCTCTAACTTTGTAAGAGGTGAACGGAATAAGCTAACAGGGAAGGGATTAATTCTAAATGGTTTGTGCCTTACCGATCAGCTCAATCTCCTATTCCTCTTACAGCACCAACACTGCACCTGTTGGTACCTCAAGTTCTTAACCAGATATAAAGTACTACGGGATTCCTCAACAGGGGGGCTCCATGCTCTGTACACTGTAAAGATCACAAAAAGCATTTGAGGAATCTTAAATGACTGTTCTCAAAGTCCAATTAAAAAAAAAAAAGACTTCCTGGCTAAAATCCTGCCAGCTTTATCTATTTCAAAACCATGGTATATATGCATACATTCAATGCCAGGGATTACACTAGGATCTCAGGGTTAAGGACACAAAATGAGCAAAGCTCCTACTCCACAGGACTCCGGCCAGACAATAAATGCTAATATATATATCATACCTCAAATAGTATTATATAAAAATTGAGGGAACAGAGTCTGAAAGATGGTAAAGCAAGGACCCGAAAGAAGTGAGGAGACAAATTATGCCTGGAATCGGGAGAGGCTCACAGAACAAGAGAGACAGGGATGAAGCAGTCTATCCAAAAGAGCAACAGTTGTATGCCAACTCAGAAAGTTGGTTTCTTTTTCTTTTTCTTTTGGTTTGAACTCAGGGCTTCATGCTTGGAAAGTGAGTGTTCTACTGCTTGAGCCACACTTCCAGTCCATTTTGCTCTGGTTATTTTGGAGATGGGGTCTCGAGAACTATTTGCCCAGGCTGGCCTCAAACCACAATCCTCCCAATCTCAGCCTCCCAAGTAGCTAGGATTATAGGCACGAGCCACCAGCACCTGGTAGGAAGTTGGGTTTTACTGAGCAAAATGAGCAGTGAAGAAATGAGAGGTGAGTTACATTTTTAAAGCAGTCTTGGCCACTGCTGCTCTGCTAAAACACAGACAAGGGTATAAGCAGGAAAACTAGTTAAGATCTGACTTCAGTCAGAAGATGTAGGATGGAAAGGGTGACAGCTGTGAACAGGATAGGAAGGGCTCCTTCCGGATGTGCTCTGAAATTAGTCAAGGAACTGAATGAAAAGGCCTGGGGGTGTGAGTCAGAGCAGGGGATGTACCAAGCCTGGGGCTCCAAAGATGAAGAGGATATAGCAGAAGAGACTGGGAAGAAGCAGCCAGTGATGTGAGAGCAAAATATGAGATGAACTCCTGGCCAGGCTTCCTGACTAAAACTGCCAGCAGGGTACCTGCATAAGGACTGAGCAGGGCCAAATGATTAGGAAAGGGGAGGTCATGGTGACCTTGAAAAGAGCAGTCTCAATGGAGCAAAGAGAGTAAGGCAGGTTTAAAGGAAAGTGAAGGTTGACTCATTTGAAAAGTAATGCTGCACAGGGTGAATTAAATCAAGTAGAAATGGGGGAGAGAGCTATGTGGGGCTCAGGAACGCATTTAAAGATGGGAGAAATAACAGCAAGCTGACAGTGATCCACCAGAGGAGAACTTGTGCTGCAGGGGAGAACTAACCGACCACTGGTGTAGTGTCACTGACAGAATAGAAGCACAGGGCAAGGATGGTTTCCATCAAGAGGAAGAATGCACCACATGTAGCCCAGCAGTGAGGGATGGCAAGACCTGAGGGCAGCAATGTAGTAGAAATTTCTGCTGATAGGCTGGGATTTTGTCAATGAGGCTGACCAAGCAGCTGGGCCTGGTGCTATAATTCCAGCACTTCGGAGGTAGAGGCAGAAGGATCAAAAGTTTGAGGCCAATCTGGACTATATAGCCAGTTTCGGGACAGCTTGAGCTACATAGGAAGACCTAGTCTCAAACAAACAAACAAGAGAAGGGCAGGCATTAGGTGTTTACATGGTGAACCAAGAAATCTATACTAAAGGAAGAAGGTGAGGACATTACAATCGAAGGTGCTAAAGGCCAGAGGCCAAACCAAGGCCGAAAACAACTGAGGTTGACCTATTAAGAAAGGTAAACAGGAAATAGAGTGATGACAGTTGAAAAACGTATTGCTTAAAATTGAGATTATGAAAAGGATGCAGTTATATATAGTGATAAGATCTAGTAGCTGAGGTGAGGTGAGGGATAAGGACAGAATAGGTGTGACTGGGATCATCCACACAGAGAGTGAGATGACAGGGAACCTAACGGACCAGGCACTAAGGAAGAAGGAATACTCTCGGAGTAAAGAGATGAAGGGAGAAATCTGCAAGTCCATACACGACTACAATAAGATGTCACAGGTAATCTTGCCTGAAGTGATCTTGTCTGAATGCTTGAGCTTCTGGAAACCAGAGAAGGAAGAACAATGGTCCAAAAAGAGAAATGAAGATAAGATGACAGGTTCTCCCATCTTCATGTTTCCATGACTCATAAGCATGAGAAAGAAAAGACCTGCCTGGGAGGGTCTGGAAGAAGATCTGTCCTCAAGGGACAGGTAGGCTTCAGTCAAAAATCCTGCTGAACTAAAGATTGTGAATGGCCAAGGCAATACTGAGCAAAAAGAGCAACACTAGAGGTATCACAATAGCCAACTTCAGAACTGTACTACAGAACCACAGCAACAAAAATAGCATGGTACTGGCACAAAAACAGACATAAAGACCAATGGAACAGCACAGAAGACCCAGATATGAATCCGTGCAGCTATGTCCACCTGATTTTTGACAAAGGCACCCAAAACATGTGATGGAGTAAAGACAGCCTCTTCAACAAATGTTGCTGGGAAAACTGGGTATCTGCATGCAGAAAGGTTAAACTAGATCTATGTCTCTCACACTGTACAAGTATCAACTCAAAGCAGATTAAGGACCTTAATGTAAGGCCTGAAACTTTGAAGCTAGTGTAGGAAACAGTTGGGAATATACTGGAACTGACAGGCATATCTTCCTAAATAGAACGCCAATGACTCAGCAACTAAGAGAAAGGACTGACAAATGGGACTAGATGAAATAAAAAAGCTTCTGCACAGCAAAAGAAATGGTCACCAGATTTAAGAGGCAGCCCACAGAATGGGAATCTTTGCCAACTATATATCTGACAAGGGATTAATAACCAGAATATACAAGGAGCTCAAAAAATCAACGACTCAATAAAGAAAAGGACAAATGAACTGAATGGAGCTTTTTGTTTGTTTGTTTGTTTGTTTGTTTTGGTGGTACTAGGGTTTGAACTCAGGGCCTCACACTTGGTAGGTAGGTGCTCTATCACTTAAGCCATTCCGCCAGTCCTTTTTTGTGTTGGGTATTTATTTTTAGATAGGATCTTGAGAACTATTTGCCCAGCCTGGCTTCAAACTATGATCCTCCTAATCTCTGCCTCCCAAATAGCTGGAATTATAAGTAAGCCACTGTCTTCTAGCTGAACAGAGATTTTTCAAAGGAAGAAATACAAATGGCCGAGCAGGGTGCTGGTGGCTCATGCCTGTAATCCTAGCTACTCAGGAGGCAGAGATCAGGAGGATCATGGTTTGAAGCCAACCTGGACAAATAGTTTGCAAGACCCTGTCTCGAAAAAAACCCATCACGGAAAAGGGCCAGTGGAGTGGCTCAAGGTGTAGGCCCTGAGTTCAAGCCCCAGTACCTAAAAAAAAAGGCCAAAAAATATATGAAGAAATGCTCAACATCCCTGGCCTCACTCATATTAAAATGGCTATCATCCAGAACACAACGTTTGTGAGGAAATGGGGAAAAAGGAACCCTCATACACTGTTGGTGAGAATTAAATTAGTACAGCCACTATGGAAAACAGTATGGAGGCTCCTCAAAAAACTGAAAACAAAACTGCCATATATCCACCAACACCACTCCTAGGGATATACCCAAAGGAATGTAAGTCAGGTTACAATAAAGATACTTGCCCACCCATATTTACTAAGGCATTATTCACAATAGCCAAGCTATGGAAATAGCCAAGATACCCCACTACTGATGAAGGGATTAAGAAAATGTGGTATTTACATACAATGGAATTTTATTCAGCAATAAAGAATGAAATTTTGTCATTTGCAGGTAAATGGATGGAACTAGAGAACATCATCTTAAAGGAAGTGAGGCCAGGTTCAGAAAACCAAAGGCCTCATGTTTTCTATATTTGAAATGTAGGCCCAATACAAATACAAGTAATATTATATATACATACAAATATATATAGAACATGTACTCAAAAGTGAGACTGGTAGAGGAGACCAAGAGAGGAGGAAAAGGAAAGAAAGGTAGTGAATAATAATGAAATAAATCACATCTGTTAGGAAGAAGACACATCAAACACACTAAAAACTGTTAAGCAATATATAGGATAGGGGGAAAAGATGATGAAGTAAAGGGGAAGGGAGATAGATTGACTTAAGCACAATGTATGTACAGGTATAATACCAAAGCAAAAATTCCACTGAACAACAGAGACCTAAATAATGAATGACAGGTCACCCTAAGGGGAGGGCACTAGTGGGAAGAGGAGTGTAAAAGGAGAAAGAAGGAGAATATGGTTGTTATACTTTCTATACAAGAATGAACATATAATATTTAAACCTGCTGAAATCACCATAAGAAGGAGACTAAGGTAGAAAAAAATCAAAATGGAGGGGATTAACCAATTCAGGTTATAATACATATATACATGGAAATATCATAATAAAACTCCCTGTATAGCTACCTTGAACAAAAATGTCTCTTTTCAAAAATGAAGAACAGGAAGGTAAAACAGGTCCTGTGTGGGGGATGGTAACAATGGGAGGGGGAGGACATAAGGAAAGGGTATAGGAGGGTGAATAAGATGGAAATATTACATACTCATGTATGAAAATGGAACAATGAGAACTGTCGAAGCTCTTCCAAGAAGGGGGAGGAGGCATAAAATAGAATGATAGAGGGAGTAAATCTAACTAAGTAAGTACTTTTGTAAAAATGTCACAATGTACCCTCAGTACAATATAATAAAAATTAATAAAGATAAATTTTAAAAATGGTGTGAACTTCAAGAATCATTTTAAACTTTCCAATATCCTTAAAGCTGACCATTCACCTAACTATAAAGTTATCAGGATTCAAATTAAGAATCACTGAGTGAAGATAATGTAAAATAATTAGTACATGGAATCTTTTAAGACAACATTCTTGCTGGTATTTCCCTTGGGGATCTGTATTATGACACAGAGAAATTTCTAGTTCTGCAAAGGTCATAATGTAGATGAATGAATTGCTAGAGACTCGGTATATTTTCAATATAGCAATACTTACTTCACAATGCCATAACCCAAGCTCACAATGATCACAAGGAGGCGAGCCAATGTTCTTTTAACCGCAGATATCAACTCCGCAAATATCAATAAACCTTGTGCTGAGAGGGAAAAGAGAAAAGAATTCACTGTGTGCACATCTGGAGGCCTTCCAACCAAGATTCTAAACATGCACTATGTACAACTACATTCTGACCTTAGACTATTGGCCATATTCGATTTAAAAGTCACCTAATCTAACTGATGTTCAAAGCTTCAGTGAATGGGAATTCACTACCTCCTAAAGAATTTACTCCAAATCTGACCAGCTCTACAACAGGTTTCTTCTATCAATTTGAAACCTGTCTCTCTGAGCTTCCCTTTGTTCCTTTTCTTCTGCTTGACACTACACAGAACTATATCCCCCTTCTTGTCCTGTACATTTGAAAGCCATAATGCCTTCCATTCTCTGGAAAGTCTTCACCATTTATTAATTTAAAATGCATACACCAGTAATAAAGTGCTCATCCAGCATGTATGAGGCCCTGGCTTTGATCCCCAGCACCTCAAACAAATAAAAAGTATTCATTATGCTACTATTGTGTGAGTATTACAAAGAAACACTTGATTCCTGTCTGCATGGAACTGTACTCTGGTTAGGCCAAATACACAGTAACACCAGGATTAGGAGGAAGACCATTCTAATCCACACTTGGAGGAGGTGGAAATTGGTCTAGAAAAGCTCACAAAAAAGTGACATCTAAATCAGAGCTTGCATGCAAATTAGAAGTATTTAAGGAAAGGAAAGGGTATAGCAAAGACCATGGCCCACACAAAAGCATGGAGAAAAGAGGAAAGGCAAAATACATCGCAAGACACTCAAGTTCAGTATGTCTGCAGCAGAGAGTGTAATGTCAGATGTCAAGAAAACAGCACAGTGATAGAGGCAGAGATTACACATGTGGAATTTGAGGACCTTGTTATGAATGCTGAACCTGATGCTGAGAGTGTGGGAAGTCAGTAATAGTAAACAAAAGAATAAAAGACAGAATAGTATATTACAGCTCAGAGGCCAAATCTGGCCCTGTATCTGTTTTTACAAATAAAGTTTTATTGGAACATAGATATGCCCAATTCTTTATCTATTGTTTGTGGCTGCTTTTATGCCTCAATGGCATAGATGAGTAGTTATAATAGAGAACACATGGCTTTCAAAGCCAAAAATATTTATCACACGGCCTTTACAGAAAAAGTTTGTGACTACTGGAATAAAATAGGTAACTTTTATTGAAATTGCTCTATTTAGAATGGTTTGGAGAAGAATAAAACCATGACAAGGAAAATGCTCATGAGACTATTTCAGAAATCTAAGCCAGTGAGGATGTCAGGACTGACAGTGAAGATGGAGAGAAGCAGGAAGATATTTGGGAAACAGATATAGATCAAAACCAGCTGTGAATTCACCTAATGCTTTTTGTTTATACTGTTTTCAGCTACATCTTGTCTGTAAGAAATCTCAAGAGATCTTGCAAATGTCTTGAAGATAGTCCAGCAACTAGAAAGACAGGAAGAAAGTGGCAAGAAGGTCTCCTGAGAGTGCTACCCTGTCAAAGGAAGACCTGGAAGAGCAGCAGATTTGGGGTAAGGCAAGACAACCACTGGGGTAGAAAGGATGAGTTCTATTTCTGCCACACAGAGGTGGAGAAGTTGGAAGGCATTCAGATACTGGTGGGTGACAAAATACATGGATCAGCTGAGATCTTGACTGGAGGAAAAGTTTTAGAAGAAAACAATGGATGAGTTCTCCTAGAGAGTACAGAATGTGAAGAGGTTTAAGATCACACACATTTAAGGATGGGCATGTTTTCAAATCCCTCCATGAGCTGCTTGGTCTGGACTGTACATACTCCTCTCCCTCCTATCTAAGTAATGTGAATGTGACCTTTCTGGTATAGCCTACCCTGCAAAAGCACGATTCTCAATTCCTGCCCAGTGAATGTTCCTGTGACAATCTAAGCTTGCAGGAGCCCGTGGGAGACAATCATCTATTTATTGCCTGTATTGAGTTTGTTTTTCATCAGCTTCAACCTTTAACTCCTTTTAAAAGCTTTTCCACTCACATTTCTACAATTTGTACTTCAACTCCAAGTTCAAGATCTTGACCACTAAATTTAACCTTTCTCTTCAGGATATCAAATCTTTGTATCTCATCATATAGCTTCAGGTGAAAAGATTCTACTTAAAATGATTCTCCACTATGACCTTAAGTATCTATAACTCCTGCCAACCTCACATCATCCACAAATTTGAAGAGAATGTGGTCTGCATATACACAGGTACACAGTAAATGTTAATTGAACAAACCAGTGGGTTCACAAGAATAAAATGGCAACAAGATCTAAAATCTGTTAGACCCCATCCAAAGCCTCTTTCTAGTCCAATGGTTCTCAATCACAGATGAATATTAGAAAAGCCTAGGAAGCTTCTAAACTGATCCAATTCCTAGGCTACCCAATCAGAATCTCTGGTATTGTTTTAAAGTTCTTCAAGTGATGCTAATGTGTAACTAGGAACGAGAACCATTGCTCAGACCAGGGCTGTCTAAGAGAACTTTCTATGATGATAGAGATGTTTGGTATCTGGGTCATCCTATACAGTAATTACTGGGCATGTGTGCCTTCTGAGTACTTAAGCTGCAGCTAGCCTAACTGAGGGACTAAATTACAGTTCTGTTTAATTTTGTTAAATAGGCAGATGTAGCTTGTGGCTGCCATAGTGGACAGCACAGATCTATACTGGCATGACTGATGAGTGATTATCTACATGAACTCTTTAGATGTGGGTACATATCTAAAACTGGTTGTACAACCAGTTGTTCTTCCAGCTCCTATTACTCTGCCCACAAAAGACCCTATCAAATCTCTTAAAGAAGTCTACCTAGCTTATGTTTACCACATTTTCTTAACTGTCAATCTAGCAGACCAGATGAGAGAAATTACTGTAGCACAACCTATTCTTAACATACCTGTGTTGGGGCCTAACAATCACTGCTGATGATTTTTCTAAGTTCTATCCTTCCAGAATCAATGCTGAGCAAAAGAGCTCATCTTACAGAATTCCATTTTGAGAAGATTAAAAAGGACATCAGCCATGCCCAAGTTTGGGCACCTCTCCTATGGACAAGACTCCTCAGAGACACTAACAGGATCCAGGGTTTCTCGTCCAAGCCCTCTGGTGCCATGGAGAACTTGAACTCCTTGAGGATGGCAAATGGATTCACATCACTTCATGGATTTCAGGCTTCTGCTGTCCTCACCCTTGCACTCACTCTCTAGACAAGAGATCCTCCTTCCTAATATAAAGAGCTGAATTGCCTTCTTTAACATTCAGCCATGCTTCAATTCTAAGAAGCAGTCCCCTACCCTTTCCATCATTATTTGACTTAGAGCATATGTGCACACACATTCCATAAAACTTACATGATGGTAATACCTCTACTATGCATTTCTCAGTGTTTGTCCTTCTGTATCCTCTGGTGTGTATCTTTTTAATTGTTTTATTTTAGAAAATTTCAAATATTCCCCAACACAGAAAACCAATGTAATAAATTCCCATAAACCCATCATTCAGCTTCAATAATTATCAACATGATCACAAATTTGTTTCATCTATATTCCAAGTCACTTTTTTTTTTCTTGGAGTATTTAAAAATAAATAGCAGACATGACCATGCTGATTAAAAACCTGTGCCAAAATCATTTGTAACTGACTACTCAGAAGTACATTTTGGAGCATTTTCAACTGTTTGTGCTATCTATCTCCCTTTCCAAAGTTTCAGTGGTGGAACTGAACCTTTACTTCTCTGGCTTTTTGGCAATCTACCTTCTAGATCTGGGGAAGCCTGATGTAGCCCTCCCTGCCTCACACATTCCCCTGTGTAAAAGTTGGTACCACCTTTCCTGGTCATAGGAAGCTCCTGTAGAAGTGAAGAGACGGGGAGAACACACAAAGACTACAGGAGGGAACTGTCTACCTTGGTGCCAATGATTTAACTCCCTGGGGCCAAATTGCCTCTTTTCTTTTTTTAGCAAAGAAGGGAAAGGAAGATTGGGAGAAAAGTAAGAAATGTTAAAAGTATGGACACACTTGATGTACCCCTGTCCAGAACTTTATGCTGTTTTAATCCCACTGTACCTTAGGGAGTAGGAACTTTCCTTTTCCCAGGAGGAAAACTGAAGGGTAAGTTAGCAAAAAGGAAAGTAGAAAAAGATGAGAGAGATTCCAAGATGGCGGCTAGAGGTAGGAAGCAGAAAGCGACCCTCCTATAGTGAAACCTTGGAGAGACGCTGAAGACACACTTTGCAGGCATAATCACCGAGAAAAGGCATAACTTTGACTCCTCCACATCTCCAGCCAGTGCAGAGAATCTCCACCTCACGTTAAACGGAGAACCGAGGAGGGCCCCCAGGGCCGCCAGTGGCCGGCGCCCATACGGCTTGGGAAGACGCGGACCAGGTGAGCTTCACGGTACCGCGGTAGCCCCACAGACAAGCCTGGGCCAGAGCAGCATAGCCCCCTGGACAGACTGACCACCACCCGGGAAAAAAAGAGAAACTGAGTACTAAGCAACAAGAACAGTTAAGACACGCTGGAAAGAGGGTGGGGCGCCCTGAGCGCTGAAGATTGGGGGAAGGGAATCCTTCCCGGGACTGTAAATAAACGAGCCGGGCGGGCCGGAGAGGCTCTGGCGGGAGCAGGGCGCGCCCAGCAACCAGGAGCGGGGAAGCTTGTGAGAGGAGGGAAGACCCACTTCCCACGTGAACTGTAAATAAACACGCAGGCCTGACAACGCGGGGCAGTGTCACTTTCCCAGTGCTTGGAAAGGGAAAAGCCTGTAGCAGAGGCCCCGCACAGGAGAACTCTGAACAAACAAAGCCTGTGGGACCAGGTGAGTGCTAAGCTCACCCCAGAGATCTGCATAAATAACGCCGCCAGCTACAGGCTGAGAGCAGCAGGCAGGCAAGCCACAGTTGCAGATACCACTCTCAGAACTGCCTCCAGACGCTTTTTTTTCTTTTTCTCCCTACCTTTGATGAGAGAACAACCGAATTACACCTGCAAG